TTGCCCTACCTGTTCATGTAGAGAAGCCGCAGACAGCCCACACACTGCCCACCACACACATTTAAGACTTAACATTTCTATATGACTTTGTACTTGCAAATTACCAGATGATTGGTTTTTTACGAATTATTCCTCCTAACCAACCTGTGAACCAAGTTAGCTCCCTTACCTTATTTTTACACAGGAGGAGGTGAGTTATAAAGGGAACAAGCCGTTTACACAATGTCAAACAGTGTGAGATCAATGGCAGAACCAAGTTATAATTCCCAGGCCACTGCTGAAGCCACTGGTGCTCTTAGCAAACACAATCCTACAGAATATCACTGTGAAGCACAGAAGCCTAGAAGTCAGGAGACCTAGGTTTTCCTTTCTATTCTGCCCTCTTAGCCTAGTTTCCTCATCTGTGATATAGGAATAATGCCTTCCCTACCTATTCCAATAGGGTTTTTACAAGGAAAGCTTTTTTTTTTTTTAACAAAGTACAAAATAAAAGTTATTATGACCTCTAAACCTTGGACCAATTCATAATTTCTTAAATGACGAAATGGTTTGCTCTGCATAATCCATATCATACATGAGTCAGGTAATACACAAAACATGCAAAACATATGATGGCAGTTAAAGGAGGGAAAAAGCTAAAGGACTATGAGCCCCTTTTATTTGTACATGTATGAAACAGCATCTCTCTCCTAGGATCATAGTGGAGATGAAATGGCATAGTATTTGCAAAGTGCCTTGTACACCTTAAAGTGCTACATAAAGGCTAGGTATTATAATCAAACATCTGGATATGGCCCAGGGAATATGCAACCAGCTCCTGCTCAATTCCTTAATTCCTTTTAGGGGCCATTTGTGGGCCAAGCTGAGTCTGGAGTCAGGACCTGAGTTCAAATCTAGCCTCAGACACTCAACTAGCTGTGTGATCCTCTGTTTTCCTCAGTTTCCTTAACTGTAAAATAGGGATAATAATAGCACCTACCTCCCAAGGTTGTTGTGAGGACCAAATGAGATATTTGTAAAAAAAATCACTTAGCACAGTATTTGGAACCCAGTAGGCACTATATGTATTCTGATTTCTACCTCTCCCTCCCCAAGCAGTAAAGAGTTAATGAACAAGATGAAATAGAGAGCCTAACATGGAGGAGTAAATTTGACCTTAATGGCATCATTGAAGCTTCCTAGAATGAGACCTACTATTCCTGAACAATGTAAGCTCACTGGGGTGAAGGACTGTTTTCTATTTTCTCTTTGTATGTCCAGTTCCCAGCATAGTGCCACGCAATAGCACTTATTGTGTTAGATTAGAATATGGCTCTGAAAGGGTATACTTTATTTAAAAGAAACAGGATAAGTAAAACTGAGAGGGAAAGGCAGCATTTTATATTCAGAAAATAAACTCATGTGAAGAAAAATATTTTGGTGAAGATCAATAGGGTTAGAAACAAAGGTGATACTGTCACCCGAGAATACTACAGACCACTTAGAAGGAGGATAAGGTGTTTGGGAAACAGATCACAAAACCAACCCAGAAGACTTCAGTTTTCTGGTATCTGCTAAGTTTTCATACTGTCAAAAGTAGTGCAGTTAATAATTTCTTGACTTGCCTTTGTGATAATCTTCCTTCAAAAAGGGGAGGAGCCAACAAAGGAAAATTTTATTCTTGATCTGATTCTCACCTCTCACAGGGAAGAATTGGTTGTTGGGAGGACAGCGATGAGGAAAGTGACCACTTTCTCCTTCAGTTTTTGACAGAAAAGAAGAAAGCTGGGAATAGTCTGACCTGTTCCTAGGTTTTAGGAAAGCAACAAATACTTCAGAGGAAAAACACAAAGAATCTCATGAACTAAAATTCTACCAAGGAATTCCAATCCAGGGGGATCGTAAGCTCTCAAAAATGAAATTCTAAGGACAAAGAAACAACTCTGATGCAAAAGGAGAGCTGTCTAAAGAGACTAAAATGAATACACAGAAAACACCAACCAACTTAGATTGTAAATTGCCATCTACAGGATATCAAAGAAAGGACAGACAACAGAAGATGGCATGTATGGCATCATCATCACAGCTAACACTTATATAGCATTTTAAGGATTATAAATCACTTCATCCTCCCAACTCTCTGAATAGGTGACACCGTATCCTATCACATATTGTATCATATTGTATTGTTATATTATTAATGAACAACTGCTATTAATAATACATGCTTGTGTAGCATATATTATTTACATTAACTATATACTATATAATTAATATGCTACTAATTACATATACATGGATGTATAATATATTTTACATACACACACACACATTTTTGTTACGTCTGTTATGAATGTAAGATAAGCATGGTCCTATAAGAACACTGTCAGGAATACTAAACCTCAGGATTTGATGAATCTGAGAGTCTGGTGAAGAAAGCTAAAGATAACAAACGAGTTGGGACTTTTTGTTGGTAAAAACAAGGTAAAGAGGAGATTCAAAGAAAGGATGGGACTGCATCTGGAGTGGATAAGATTATGACAAATGGCTACAGAAAGCATGTGAAACTCACATTGCTTTTGTTTTCTTTGCCAAAGGGACTGATTTTTGGACTAGAAAGGACAAATAAGGGAGTTAATACCCATAATAATGAATAATGGCATGCTCATCCAATTTGCAAATGACATCAACCCAGGAGGGACCACTAACACTTCAGATTCCAAAGTCAGGAACCAGAAAGATCTTGAAGGTTATAATACTAGGCAAAATCTAACAAGCTGAATTTTAATAGGGATAAATGCTTACATTTAGCTTTTAAAAAAAAACAACAGGTCACCTCAAAAAGGATCTGAGGATTTTAGTAGATTACAAGTTTAATGTGAGTGAGCAGCATGACAAAGCTGAATTAATGCCCACCATGAAGGCACAAGGAGGTGATAATTCTGCTGTGCTCTGCTCTAGTAAGACCCCCTCTGAAATGCTGTGCTTAGCTGTGGACATCACATGTTAGGGCACTGACAAGCTGGAAAGCGTCCTGAAGAGGGAGCCTTGAATTCATACCACATGAGGAACAGTTGGAAGAACTCATAATGTTTAACCTAGAGAACACTCCAGGAAGATATGATCGCTGTCCACAAGTACATGGCCTGTCACATGGGAGGAAGGTGAGATATGTTTGACCCCAGACACGAGATCTAGGAGCAATGGGTGGGAGTCGCAAAATGACAAATCTAGGCTTGATGTCAGTAAAAACAAACAAACAAAAACAAAACAAAACAAAACAAAAAACTTCCCAACCAGTAGAGCTACTCAAATATGGATGGGCTTCCCTTCAAGCAAAGGTTTCATAAGCACTGACTGAACTGTTACAGAAGGAATTCTATTTCAGGTCTCAGACTAGGGATCAACTCAACATCCTCCATTCTGAAATTCTGTGATGCTGTGAGTATTGCCATTCATGTCTCTTAGTCAATGTCCTAGATATTTTGAGTTATCCCAACTGAGCTGAAGCCTTCCTCTGTAAGCAGTGAAATGATTTAATGCTGATACAGCATTTTCAAAAGAAAAGAGGGACAGAATACAAGTGCTCCCCAATGACACATGCCCTAAAGAGACTGATTTAGAGACTGGCCCTTTCTTCCTTTTCATTCTTAAATTATGACAAATGAGGCAAATGTTTTCCATTTAGTTTTGTAGTGATTGTGTATACCGTTTTCTTGGCTCTGCCCACTTCACTTTGCATCAGTTCCTAAGTCTTCCCACGGTTTTCTGTATTAATCATATTCATCACTTTTCATAGCACAATAATCCACCACATTCAACTAATTAGATTTTGCCCAGTGTTATAGCCTATCAGGATCTTTCTGGTTCCTGACTCTAGAATCCAAAGTGTTACTGGTCCCTCCCAAGCTGATGTCATTTGCAAATTGGATAAGCATGCAATCATTATTCATTATTATGAGTATGAACCCCCTATTTGTCCCTTCCAGTCCCAAAATCAATCCCTTTGGCAAGAAAAAAAGAAACAAAATGAGTTCTACCTGCTCTCTGTTCCCATTTGTCATCAACTACCACAGCTTATTAGTCATTCCCTGATCTACAGAAATATATCTGGTGCCCAATTCTTGGTGACCACAAAAAAGTACGGCTATAAACATCTGGGGTATATGGAGCCTTTCTTTTTACCAATGACCTCCTTAGGGGCCTAGCAATGGAATCTCTAGCTCAAGGGCATGGACATTTTAGTTTCTTCATTTGCATGTTACTTTCCAGAAAGACTGTATTAATTCACAGCTCCACAACTGATGCATTAATGTTCCTGTCTTTCCACAACCCTCCAAAGTTGACTATTTCCACCTTTTGTCATTTTGGAGAAGAAAATAACTTCATAATGACAAGTCTAAAAATCAATCTGTTAAAAGCTATAAATACTACGGTAGTAACATTTCAAGGACTTGTCATTTTGCTGATGTGGGCATAACCAACACAGACTGTAATCCATCTGCTACTACCTAGATGTATCTCGATATTTATTTAGCAAATATTTATTATGTACTATATATAAAGCACCACACGAGAACTACAAATAACACACACACACATACACACACATTTTTAAAAGGTCATTGTGAGTAGGCTGAGCCTCTTCATATTTAACTAGGCTGGTCCTCAAATAAACATACAGTCTATTCAAGTTTGTACTCCATCTTTTTCCATCTTGTGAGAACCTGTCAGAACTTGTGTGCTAGTCATGGCCTTCAAGAATATAGTCACCCTCTTTATTTTTCTTCTTCTCTTTCCTTTTTTATTTTTTGTAACATGGCTAATATGGAAATATGACAGAAAATATATATATAATAACCTCTGTGCCGTGATGAGGCATTAGAGAAAACCTTTAATTAGTTAATATTAGTATCTTCCGCTAAAGAAAAATTCAAGTCTTTTCTGACTGCTGTACACATATTGGGGAGGGGGGAACTCTAGAAATGAAATAGCAATTGTATCACTGCTGTAAAAGTTACCTTGGAGACAGTTTGCAGCCTTGTTGGAGGTAGGCACTGAGCATACCAGTTGCTGCAAGCAACAGACCGAGGTATGGAGGAGAAGGTTTCATTGGCCTAGAAGAAAACTCAGGATGGAACTGGACAGCAATAAAATAAGGATGATCTGAAATGAAAAGAGTTAGAATACATTTAAGGCTCAGGCACATGTTAAAACTAAATTAAAGTTTTTACCCTCCGGCAAGGAAACAACCATCATTTTATTTAATACATTTTAGCAAAATCATTTTTCTAGGTAGTTTTTCAAGTGATGAAACAGCACACAGAGCCAAGGAACCAAAGTGTCAAAACACGCTAGCAGTGCTGCGGTGTGCTGGATGTAAGCCAAAAGAACAGTGAGGCAGTGAGACTCTGCTTTCTCATTTTTCAGAAGAACCTTATGGTTTGGCTTACCACCATTTCCACTGGACTGTCAAGGCCTTCAGACCAAGGCCAGATCGCTCCTCATACTAAGGAATCCCTTGAGGCATTTACTGACGTTAAGTTTCTTGACCAACTTTGGGGCGAGATTTGAGTTTATCCAATATGGTGCTAACCTAATGGGCTTAGCTAGATTCTGACTGACCCCAAGAACACATCAGGGTGATAATTAATCTTGTCCCCTCCTTCAAGGTCCTTAAGAATCATCACCATGGGGTTGGACTCTTAACTCCTACAAAGCACTCTGGCTCCATACCCTCCAAACTCTACAACCTAAGTGATGGTATTCATTTCATGATTCTTCCGTTTCCTCATTTGGACTAAATACTCTGTCATGTGGATCCCAACCTACCCATTCCTTCTCATCCCGTGTGATTCTAATCCACAGCATTCCATAAATCCTCTACAGAGGAACGCCCCAATTTCTTCAGCAGGTACCAGTGGAGCTCTCTGTCTATTCTGTTAAGTAGCTTTCAACACTCTCTTATTTATATGGAATGATGAGCAAATCTTTTTTAAAATATTTTTTTTAAAAAAACCTTTATTTCAGTCTTATTACTCTCACAGTTTTTTTATAACTGTGATGATTTGGGGCAAGGTTTTGTAACATAGTAGATAGATAAGAGTATTGGCATTAGAGTCAGGAAGACCTGAGGTTAAATCCCATTTCTGACAGTCTCAGTTTCCTCATCTATAAAATGGAGATTTTATAGGATTATTGAGAAGCTCAGATGAGAACATTTATGTAGAACATAATGAAACCTTTACAACACTAAAGGTCAATAATCATTATTATAGGGTCTTTTAAAAAAAAATTTTTTTTGTCTTTGATGGAATTTTTTTTTCTAGAAAGAAACCTGCCTTCCAAGCAGAGAGAACAATGCCCTGCTATGAGAGATTTAAGGTAAAATACTACCTCCTCCATCCCTTCGTTTCCCCTTTTTAAAAAAATTTAATTGTTACATTTTATGTTTTGAACTGTCTCTCTCCCTCCTTCCCCCCTCCATCCCACACTAAAAAAGGCCACCATTTGACCAAACAGATGTGCGTATATGTATGTATGTGTGTGTATATACACACACATATATGTATATATAATATACACATATACAATATATATAAACATTCTATGCAAACTCCTATTTATCAGTTCTTTCTCTGAAGATGGATAGCACCTTCCTTCATAAGTCCTTTGTAGTTGATTTGAGTATTTATAATACTCAGAATAACTTAGTTGTTCAGTTATTTTTCAAATGATATCGCTGTTACTGTATACAAAATTTTCTTGGTTCTGTTCATTTCACTCTTCATTATTTCATGCAAGTCTTCTTCCCATGTTTTTTCTAATATCAACCAGCTCATCATTTCTTACAGAAGAGTAGTATTCCATCACCATCATATACCACAAGTTCAGCCATTCCCCAATTGATGGCCATCCCTGTTTCCCTCTTTCTTCTCCCCATCCCTTCTTGCTCTCTCTCATCTCTCTCACAAATCATCATAGTTATAAAAAGCGGGATACTCCTTGTAGCTAAAGTTTAGTATCTTTAAAGAAAGGTTTGCCAGTCATAACATGTAAAACTGGGAGTGTTGGAAGCTACTTAAGAGAACAGCCAGAGAGTTTCACTGGTATCCACTGAATGTAAAAAGAATTTGGAGACCTTGCTCCTAACATGTGCTAGCTATCCTACAAGTCACTCTTAACCTCACAGAGCCCCTGGGTGACTCTCTAAATCTATAAAGTGTTGACAAGTTGCCAATCTGCATTAGTAGAGGGACCTTCAACACAATGAGCTCCCATACTGATGAAATCACAGCTCCACACAGGGAGGGAGAAAGGAGGGGGAGAAATAGTTTATGGAATCCAAGGTAAAAGTAACCCAGAACTTACAAAGCCGACTGTTACTTCACTTGGGGAAACAACTAAGAGGTTTTTTTTGTTGTATGTTACAATCCTTAGATTTCAGCATCTAGTTATGGGTTGCTACATGAAAGAATCAGAAAGTAATAATGTTGTGGGTACTGTTTTATGGAATATTAGTGCAATCTGTCTCATCACAGCCAGAGATAGACTGAATAAATGGACCACTGTTCTGTTTACTTACAGCAATTTTGGAGACAAATTTATCCAATGATTTCCCCTGATACCATTATGATGAGAAAAGAGAGTAAAAAAAGGAGAAGGTTGTTTTGATGATGTTCCTTTAATCAAAAGGAGGAAAAAAAACCCTCTGAAACAATGTTTTTGCTTATTTGTTTTGAATTGAACCCTCATATTAGACCCAATGCCTATTCCCTTTTAGCACAACTGTTACATGCGGCAAATGATTATTATAAAATGCTTAGCCTATGTCTGTGTGGAACAGAAGCTCAAAAGACTCTTGGGGGTTCTTCTTTAATGAAAATAAATATTCTTCCTAGTCTACCTTAAAAAATTTCTCTATCTCACTGCTGCTCTCAGTTCCTTTCCAATTCATGTGAAATTTTAAAAATCTCTATAGGCATATACTTTTGATAAAAGCAGTAAAGAGAGGATGCTAAAATAAAACTGAATCTTCAATTAATAAAAATCTACAGAGATGATTAGCTTAAATCAATGCCCCTGCCTCTCTCCCAAGCAATGATAGCATCTATCACTGAGCTGCCCTGCAATACGCAAAATCAAGAACTATATCTATTAGCAGCTAAAAAACAAAGTTAGTTCCATAATTCTGGTCAAAGCAGCGACCAATCATGATACCAAAAGGATGATGGTGAAAGATGTCTCCTGTCTCCAAGGAACCAATCAACAAGCATTTATAAAGCGCCAACTGTGTGCCGAGCACACTGCTAGGCACTAGGGTTCCATTCTCCTGGGGAACTGGGAAGAGAGACAACACAATTATAGATATATAAGGGAAAAAAAAAAATATATATATATATATAAAATTTTAAAATATATTTTTTTTAAAAAGCTGAAGGAGGGAGTACAGTAGTAATATAAGGATCAGAAAAGGCCTCACACAGAAAGCGAGCTTAAGCTGGGTCTTAACAGATGAAAGGGATTTTATGAGGTGAAGTTGAGGAGGGAGTGAATTCCAGGCATAGGAAATAGCTGATGCAAAGGTATAGAGACAGGATATGGATGACTGAAGATGAGTGTTGTGTGGGCATGGGGGCAGCTAGGTGGCACAGTGGACTAGAAGGCTGAATCTAGAGTTGTGAAGACCTGAGTTCAAATCTAGCTTCCAACACTTACTAGCTGGGTGATCCTAGGTAAGTCACTTTACTGCTATTTACTTCCCAGCATTGTTATAAGGATCAAATGAGACAATAATTGTAAAATGCTTATAAATAGTAAGCACTATATAAATGTCAGCTATTATTAGTTATTATTACTCATTGTAAAGTGCTCAGCACAGTGCCAGGCACATAGTAAGCACTATACAAATGTCAGCTATCATGTATGAGGAACAGACAAGAAAGTCAGTTCGGCTAGACCGTAGAATGTGGGATTTATTGATGTACAGTCATTTTCAGTTGTGTCCGACTCTTTGTGACCTGATTTGGGCTTTTCTTGGAAAAATACTGCAGTGGTTTGTCATTTCCTTCTCTAGCTCATTTTCCAGACAAGGAAACCAAGGCAAAAAGGGTTAAGTGACTTGTCCAGGGTGACACAGCTAGTAAGTAAAGCCAAATTTGAACTCAGGAAGATGAGTCCTTCCTGACTCCAGGCCCAGCACTTTAACCTGTGCCACCTAGCTGCCCAGAATGTGGGAAGGGAAGCTTTATAATGAGGCTGAAAAGTAGGGCTGGGGCTAGATTGTAAATAGCTTTACTAAAAGCCTCAAAAATTTATACCTTATTCTAGAGTCAACAGAAAATCACTGCAGTTCACTGAGGGGGGTGGTGAGTGGTAACATGGGTAGACCAACGCTGTAGAAAAATTATTTTGACAACTGTGAGGAGAATAAATTGGAATAGGAAAAGATCTGAGTCAGGGAGACCAACTGGTAGCAGGCATGAGATGATGAGAACCTGAACCAGGGTGTAAGCTGTGTGAACAGAGAAAAGCGGACCCATACTGAGAGATGTTGAGGAGACAGAAGTGACGAGATGTGGGAACGGTTCAGAAACATACAGTGAATAAGAGACAGGAGCTGAAAATGGCACGGTGGATGCAAGCCTGGGTCACGGGGAGCACAATGATGCCATCAAAGGTAACAGGGAAGCTTGGAAAAGGGATGAGTGTGCAGAGAGGAAAAGGAGAAGATAATCAACTCTATTTTGGACATGTTGAATTTGATATGCCAATAGGCATACTCCATTTGAATGGACCAAAAGATATTTGGTGATAGAAGACTGGCATTCAAACAAAGAGACTGCATGTACATATGTATGCCTGTATCTACACACATGTATATACTGCATATATACACGTGTATGTCTATATAGACATGTGTACATATGCATTTGCCTATTTCATTCATGCGTGCATTTATGTGTGGGTATGTGGGTATGTATGTATATGTGTGTGTGTGTATATGTAGTCAACTGTATAGAAAGCATAACTAAACCCATAAAAGCTGATGAGTGAAAGTCTAGAAAAGAAAGAAAAGGGAGAGAAGTGGGAGACTACAGGTGCAGAATAAGAAGTATATTTTCAGATAATATGTTGATCTGGACTGTATTTATCTATCTAAGAGG